CACTGTCTTTGTTTACGAAGGTTTCTTTGCTGAAATTTTCTGACTCCTTAATGCTCGTAGCCAAATTTTGCATGGGTGGTGAAAGTATATTATACTTATTCAGATATTTTAGTACCACAAAGGAGACCGACTTTGAAACACATTATGCCCAGATGCCACCGCAGAAGCAATGACAGTCTCTCTCGTTTCAAATTATGGATATGAAATTCTGTTTTCCACTGATATTTTCTATCACCATAAAATCTAGAACAGTGATTCCCAACTCATGTTTAAAAAATTTATTCTCCCCATGCAGTGACATTTCTACACGGCTCTGACATGTCCTTGGTTTGCGTTGATGATTTCCATTGTTGTTTGACCATTGAAATGGAGATCAAAGGCCTAAATGATGTTCATTTGCAATTATTATAGCCACAGAATCATGGCAACTCATTTGAAATACATTATTGTATCTTGCGTTGCAAATTAACGATGCTTAGAAATTTTGGTGTTAAAGACAATCAGAACAGATTAAGGCTGCATAGAAGAGACAGGTGCAGACTGGCCTGGTGATCTTTTGAGACAGACGAACCTTCCTCAGTGAACAGAGCTTAGCCTTTTCAACACAGCAAGGTTCAGGTCTTGGTCTGATTTTATGATTCTAATAGGAACATAAACGATTCAGATCTGATTGAATCCCGTCAGTCAGTTTAACACACCGTGCAGTGTATCAAAGGCAATGGGTAGCATTGCTTTACACGTCAGGTGCCGGTTCGAGCCAAAGGTGCTGGTAAAATGTTTTCTATCAAACTACAAGCAATTTACCTTACTCCCTCATTGTCCTTCGGTGCAACTAGCCGAGAAGCGCGCGGCAAGTCGTTGAATTGCGAATAACCAGGGCAGCATCGCATTTTCGTGATGTCGTGCTAAGGCATGCGAAACATCTGCCGTGCCGTCTAGTAGGTGCACTTCGACAGATACAATTCGATTTTACTTCCGTGGTCTCTGGCTGAAAATCAGCATAAAGTGTAACTCGTGAGTGATAAATCTGCTAGAAGCTACTGCTCTACAAGCTAAAGGTTAATTTCAGAAAAGCATAAAATTTTATTCCGCTTATCAAATTACCGTGTGATTTAA